AGATACCCTTTCCTTTCTCAAATTAAAGCTCACTGAAAACCAAAAGCCATTTTCTTGAAGACATTTGGAGCTTCCTTTCCAAGCTGACACAAGCTTTCATCTAGACAAGAAAGGTGATCTTAGAATTTGGAAAAAAGTCTGTTTTGCAGTTAATTGGTGTTAGTGAGGTAGATCTGACAGATTGACACACAGCTTTGGAATGTCCAATTCTATTAAGACTTGTCACTTCTGAGCTAGTAGATATAAATACATCAGCATTTGCTGTTTTGACTTTTCCTTTGGAAAGAAAAATTGTAAGAGCTTACCAGCTTTCACTACACATATTTTCGAAAGCTATTCAATTAACGTCAAGAAATAATAGTGCATACAAATGCCAAATACATATTAAGTATCTGGCTGTGTGACCAGTAACAAAAACAAAAAATAATACTTGGAACTTCTTACATCCATAAATGCTATCAAACAAAAATTTCTACCTATCCTAGGTCATCCTTAGGAAGGACAAAATTACTAAATTGAGTTTAAACTTCTGGCTGGCTGTGCAACCAACCATAACAATACTAATATTCCCAAAGTATTGGAGCACTAGTTGAACACCATCAGCATTGACAAAATCACCATCATTCAACTGCAAAAGGCAGCTTTACCTGGGTCAGCTGGCATTCTGTAATGGTACTCTTACTACTATCAAACAATAACACCTGCTCATCCCAAGTCCTTGGAAAGGTTGATTGGTGGATAAAAATGCCAAATCCAGTCTAAACATCTTATTGGCTATGTGACCAACCATAGTAATAAAATAAAACAGCAACAGCATTGACAAATTCACTATCAGTCAATTGCAAAAGGTAACACCTGTCTGTATGATGTACTGTATTATTAATGTTCTATACATTACATTCTAGTAGTGATATTGCTAGATTATTTACTTATTATATGCTGCCCATCTCACTGTCTGAAGTAATTGAGAAGATTATACCTGTCCCGCAGAAATGGAGGAAAATGTTTAGTTTAACTGTTAAAGAAAAAAACATGCAGTGACTAATTACATAAAAGATAGCTAAGAATAAGCAATGATGTAAATTAAAGATTGGACCACTAGAATGTGCAGGAAACAAAACATGAATATTGAAATAATCTAATAAAAGCAAGGACAGAATGCTGAAAATCATTACATGGTCAATTTCTACAAAAGATTGAGGGGAAAGTAGGTAAAGGGAAAATCTGACAACAGTTTACAATTGGAACATTAAAAAAAGAAACTGAAGGCTTGATTTTATTTATTTTATTTATTTATTTTGTCAAGCGTAACAGATATAAGTATAAACATGATTATGGATATGAATAAATGGGGATAGTAGGACAAGGACAGTAGGCACACTGGTGCGCTTATGCACGCCCCTTGTGCTTATGCATGCCCCTTCATGCATAAGGGCATTTTGGCTGTTTAAGAGCAACTATTTGAATTAATACAATCAGGGCCAGAATTGAAAATGATTCAAATGATTCAAAGTACAGATTGTTCAAAGAGGTAGAAGAAATGTAAATCATACACTTTGCTTGTGCAAGAATATCATGCAAACCAGGGGTGGGTTCTACTTACCTTTACTACTGGTTCACAACGGGGCTGCATTTGTGCGAAACAAGCACACATGCATGCTCTTCTGCATATGCGCAGGAGCATTTGATGACGTTGGGGTGGGTGGGCGGAGCCTCCCTCTGGTTTTACTACCTGTTCTATAGAACCAGTTTGAACTGGGGACAACCCACCACTAATGCAAACTAATTATAAACAATGACATAACACAGTCATTGAAATGATGGAAACATTATCCTGTTCCAGTACTGAAAAATTCGGAGGAACATGGAGTTGAAAAATTAGATAGAATAGAATAGAATAGAATAGAATAGAATAGAATAGAATAGAATAGAATAGAATAGAATAGAATAGAATTGGAAGGGACCAACATCTTATCCAGCATCTTCTTAAAAACTTCCAGTGTTGGAGCATTCACAACTTCTGGAGGCAAGTTGTTCCACTGATTAATTGTTCTAACTGTCAGGAAATTTCTCCTTAGTTCTAAGTTGCTTTTCTCCTTGATTAGTTTCCACCTATTTCTTCTTTTCCTACCCTCAGGTGCTTTGGAGAATAGTTTGACTCCCTCTTCTTTGTGGCAACCCCTGAAATATTGGAACATTGCTATCATGTCTCCCCTAGTCCTTCTTTTCATTAAACAAGACCCGTGATGGTGAACCTATGGCATGCGTGCCAGATTTGGCACACAGAGCCCTCTCTGTGGGCATGTGCACCATCACCAGCTGCTTTTCTGGTTTCCACACCAGCTAGCTGGTCTTTGAGGGTGCTGGAGCACTGGAAAATGGCCCAAAAAATGGCCCAAAAAGGGTCTAGAAATGGCTGAAAAATGGCCTGAAAAACAGGCAAAACCAGTCAAAAAACACGCATGTGCACGCTGGCCAGCTGGTCTTTGGGTTTCCTGTGTTCAAGCGTGCGTGAAAATCAGCTGGCTGGCATGCATGGTCTTCGGGTTTTCCGTGTTCCAGTTTGGGCACTCGGTGCTGAAAAGGTTCGCCATCACTGAACTAGACATACCTAGTTCTTGCAACCATTCTGCATATGTTTTAGTCTCCAGTCCTCTAATCATCTTTGTTGCTCTTCTCTATACTCTTTCTAGAGTCTCAACATCTTTTTTACATCGTGGCAACCAAAACTGAATGCAGTATTCCAAGTGTAGCCTTACCAAAGCATTATAAAGTGGTATTAACATTTCATGTGATCTTGATTCTATCCCTCTGTTTATGCAGCCTAGAACTGTGTTGGCTTTTTTGGCAGCTGGTGCACACTGCTGGCTCATATTTAAATGGTTGTCCACTAGGACTCCAAGATCCCTCTCAATATTACTACTATTGAGCAAGATACCACATATACTGTACCATTTTGTTTTTCTTACCTAAATGTAGAACCTTACTTTTTTCACCATTGAATTTCATTTTGTTAGATAGCGCCCAATGTTCAAGTCTGTGAAGATGCTTGAAAATGGATAGTTGAAAATGAGCAGATTAAAATATTGTGGGGTTTTGAAATACAAACTGATAAAATTTTAGCTCACAACATACCACATTTAACTGTGGCTGAAAAGAAGGACATATTTATTTATTTATTTATTTGTTTAAATTTCTATACCGCCCTTCTCCAAATAGGACTCAGGGCAGTGCACAGCCTAAGTAAAAACAAAGCATACAAAATTTAAAAAATATATATAATTGGGTCAATATCAGGAGACAGTAGAATAGAAGACAAAAAATGGAAGATCACAAAGTATCAAAATATGAAAATTGAAACTGAAAAATTATGGCATAATGTGGCTATGATACCCACATTTAATAACTTTTAATTATGAGTGCATTTATTTATGTAATGTCAGAGGGAAAAAAAATAAAAGTGGTATTTTTTAAAGGGGAGTCAACAAGAAAAACAGGGAACTACACAACCATAAGGATGTTTTCTCAAATAATACAATTTGTGGAGTTAAAATAAAAGCTGATCTCAAGCAATCCACATTTCATTTACTTTTTGCATGACATGCAAATACATATCTGAGTTCAACAACTTGAATTTTGCTGTTAAGAAATACTTTGCATTTATTATTTATCTGGTGGGTAACATGAAATTATAAAGAAATTTTTTTATGGTTCTTAGTAGGTAAAGAAGGCTATCAGAATTGGAAAGAAGCAAAAAGTTTTAAAATTGAGCAAACTACTCTAGCTGGGGTCTCTTTGGGATGTTACTGCAGATGTTCTAATCCCATAATTACAATTACCAAGTATCCCAATACTATAAAAAGAAAATCCTATTTATTTCTAGAATTTGTTATTTCTGTTTTACAGGTAGCAGATGAGCATGTTTTGATGACCAAGACATTCCAAGACATTCTGTTTATATCTACAATTTACAATGTGTTTCCTCAATCTTAGAGATGAACTGAACATTTCTCTGAACCTGATGGCCATGAGTGGCCTTGAGTGTTGTATATTGGTTTTTTTTAAAAAACCTTTGTCTGAGGCAAAGGGGTTTAATGAGAGATCCTATGCAACTATATATGCATATTTACTTAAAAGTAAATTGAACTGATTTTAGTGGAGCTTTCTCTAGGCATATAGTATCTGGTTTACTGTTCAGAGTTTGAAAAACAGATATGATATGCCTAGAAGGGGTGCAGGTTTGCTATGTCAGCTCACTAGAAATCTGAAAGTCACTAAAGGACTGCTTACTTATCAAATTTGCACATAAAAGGACAAACAGAAAGCTAGGCACATTTAAATTAGAATATACTGGAATGAGTTACTGTTACTCTTTAGGAAGTCCTTGAAGAAATAGTAAATATGCTATTTGCTTGCATTTTTAGACAGCCAGCTATCACCAATACAGTATCAATTTCAAAAACTTTTTGAGCCAATGGAAAATGCTTGTAGCATTGTCCAGCTTTTTGCTCTCATGGGGTACCTGAGAGTGCAGAACATTTTGCAATGTACAGAAGTTGGGACAGAGTTGGAAGGGACTTTGGTGGTCTTCTAGTCCAACCCTCTGCTCAAGCAGGAGACCCTATACCATTCCGACAAATGTCTCTTCTTGAAAACCTCTAGTGATTGTGTAGCCACAACTTCTGAAGGCAAGCTGTTCAACTGATTAATTGTTCTCATTGTCAGCACATTTCTCCTTAGCTCTAGTTGAATCTGTCTTTGATAAGTTTCCATTTGTTACTTCTTGTCTTGTCCTCGGGTACTTTGGGAAATAGTTCACCCCCTATTCTTTGTGACAGCCCCTTAAATATTGGAAGACTGCATTAAGATGGGAGGTGTAGAGATTTGTGAATTTATATCATGTTCTCCCTCGGGCACAGACTTTTGTAACAAACCCTTTCATCGATGAAGTTCAACGGATGGGTCAATGGATGGAGAGATGAAACCAAAATGGCCATTACTGAATAATAACTAGAGAATGTATTTCTATCAGGTTTACATACTTAGGAGATGTTTTTCCTGCTGTAAATGGTGAAATATTCCACAGTGTAATCATTTGAGAAACTGTTTTCTATCATCTACTTGGGACCTTTCCATTGTGGGGAATATTTCTGTTTTTCCTTATAACTGCAGTGTTATTCTTTCCCACTTTCCATTAAAGGTTTCAGCAAAGTTTCTTTTGAAATATAAGTGACGAATATATTTAACATTGTGGAAAACAGCAAAGCGCAATGCCAAACTGCTTTTCTCATTCCAAAAAGCAGCAATTGATGAGCTGGTTGCCAGATTTCATGCATAAACTCCAGCTTTCTCCATCACAACAGCTTTTTAAGAGGCCCGAGCTCTGGGAGTTGATTCAAAGAGATTTCTGATGGAACAACCAGACGTTATGCATTAAACTTGAATGGCATTTGAATATATTTCAGTACAACATTTTAGCTTTACTTCTACTTTACCAAGATTTACTTCTAAGTCTCTTTCAAGAAAATTGAAGCTGTTGCACATGGCTTTTCAGATATTTCCAGAGAAACGCAACTGGAAAAATTGGAGATTTGGATATTCAATCTTAATGATTTTTTTGATTATTCAGAATTTAAGTTATATCCTGAAGCTAGCTTTTTATTTCAAATCTAGCAATATTCTATGATTAAAAAACAAAAAGTAGGTTTAAAATGAAATAGTACATTTATCAATAATATAGATATAATACTTCTATACACTGTGCCTTATTGATATATCAAGATTTATAGGAAGAACTTGAATTTGACTTCCTCTCCATTGTACTTCAATATACAGTATGCAGCAGAATATTTGCAAAAGTATCTTGTTTTGACTTGTGTAGCATAAAAATACATATATGAATCAGAACTGGTCATATTTCCATTTAATGGGAGAGTTCAGGGATTAACTAGAGATAAAAAATAGACTTGCCATCTGTTCCATATTCCAAAGTAGCAACCTTTATCTATGGTGAAAACAAAGTTTTATACTAACAGGCAACAGAGTTCATTGGATGACATAATAATGTGATGCTTCTCATCATGGCTTGTCCTGGACCTCTATTTTAGAGGATGAATTATACATTCACAAATAACATTTTAGTATGTAAATAAATTGATTTTATCAACTCTTTCTTTCCCTTTCTTCATTTTTCTTCTTCAGCCAAATAAGATTTGGACTTATTGGCTTCTCTGAATTATTTGTTACCCTGACTACTCCTGACAATGGATTCCTCATTATAATCTCTGGAACCCCTTGGCATATTTGGATTGGTTCTAAAACAGGATATTTCTTTCCCAAGCTACAGAAGGATCCCCAGGAAACAGCAAGTTTCCTGGAACTTGTGAATGTAAGCTCAGCATCAAGTCAGCCTTTCAGTTTATCTTCAGCATTAGGGTTCTTGACACAACAGTCTTGCTCCCAAGGAGGGATTACAATATGTTTAAAGACTATGCTGCAGCAGTTATGTGGTTCTTGAGCTGCTAGCTACTGAGCTGGTGAGTAGACAATGCTTAGGTAGAGACAGCTTAGCCTGCAGAAGCAAAAGTACATGGCAAACCCTTCCTAGTTTCTTTACCATAGAGGCAAGTGAGAGGGGAGAGAGATATTTTCAGATTTGCAAGATCCTGATAATATAACATTACAATAACATTAGAGATAGTGCTTAGCTATTGTTTTCCTTGCAAGGCTGACAGATTAACTCCTGATAGCTTCTTATAATAATTGTAAGTATGCTGACATATTTTGTTGTGCACTTCCTCTTTTCTCTTCTGGGGTGACATAAGGAAGCATTTCAAAGTATTCCCTTGAGTTCTTGATTAACCATAGTTTATTAAAATATACGAAAATTAGGGAAAGAAAAGATCAGTCACCTGCTCAGAACTGCTGCCACAATATTATACATACAATATTATATTATGGTTACAGTAAGTACAGACATCTCATTCTCTCTCTTTCCCCATTCCCTCTCCCATTTCCCCTCTCCCTATTTCTCTCTCTGTCTCATCTATCTCCTGTTGGAAGAAATGTCATCTGGATTCAGTTCCAACTGGAAGAAAGACCCTGGAAACCTGGAGGCTATTTGGAAAGATGGTTTAATGGTGGACAGGACCACATGGTTTGAGGTCCTGGGCAAAATGAGTACATGGGTGAGAGAGAGAGAGATAAATTTATACCCTCTCTTCGGCCCTGCTTTTGAGCTTCCTGTTCCCATGTAAGAAATGTATTCTGATTGGTTTTCAGACTCCCATGGAGCATGCAAGAGTAACATTGTAAGTTATCTTGAGTCCCAGGCTTGGTTGAATTTTGCTGAGTGATACAATCTCCCCAAGTGCTATGTGGTGAGATGGATAGAGGGCTAATCCTATTATGTCCTGAGGGTGAAGGCATTTTCTGCTGTAGATAAGCTGGCCCAGCCTTTCTGGGGCTATTAACAAAGGTGGGGGCTGCATGTTTCTCCTTTTCTCATTCAGGGAGGTATAATATTCTGCCTTTTTAATATTTCCTAGAATATTTCATTCTTCTAGGAGACGGGGTGTGCTAACTTTCTACAGTCTATTTCCAGATACATATCTATATCTATCTACAGATATACATTGTTTATCAATATATGTCTAAATTATCCATCTATATCTAGCATCTATATCTGGCATCATATTAACTTGCTATTACTTACTGAATCATGTTAAAATTAATGAATATTTTCTGAGCCTGCATAATTGTTAAATAATTTTCAGCAAATTCTTCAATATTTTGCTTGAGGCTATTCTGATTTTAGTTATACATGCTTGGTGTACTTACATAACTTGAACAACTTTTAAGCCTTACTGCTGAGCAAACATCTTCTTTATTCCTGAATTCCTGGCATAAATGTTTTTATCTGAGCAGATTCATATAGTCACCTAATCCATGAGGATGACCTCTCTTCCAAAAATGAAGAGCATCAAAGTAGACCTTACAAACTGATAAAGCCCTTAACTAAGTCCCAGCACAAGGACAGGCAAGTAGGCAAGAGTTATGGATCCCAGGACTCTGACTCAGAATCCTTAGAATGCTCTCCAGGCCTACAGAAGGGCCAGCATTATGAGGTAGAGAGTTGAAAGGCTGAGATGTGTAGAACTATGAGGTTCCAAGAAAACCTTCCTAAGAATGCACTCAAGGAAGACATACCTGTATGATATATGGAGTGCATAAATCCAGATGACCAGTAGATGGTAGCAAGGAGTTAAGAGTGTTTTGTATCTCTTTACTGGCACCTTGAAGTCACATTAATTTTTATAGTCCAAATATGAGCTTATTCAGTAATCAGTGGTGCTCCCAAATCCATGAATATCCCTTGAATGACATAGTGTACATGTCTAGCTGTGTTAGAGATGAAAGTCTGAATGTTTTGCTATAGAACTCTCCATTCTAAAGTAAGCAATTACTGGAAACAATACTCTCACTTTATTCTGTTTTCATGACAAATATTACTCTGACCTCTCAGCTTCAGTGTTTGGATACTGACATGATTTGTACTTTTACTTTTCTTGTGATTTCTGGACTATAACTTAGATTACTTGGCTTGGCTGGATCATCCTAAAGCTGATGTTTTCTTTCACACTGTTGAAGTGCAAATTAATTGCCTGAGAGAGAATTTAGCACATCCAAGTATATTTTATTTTATACAATTTCATTTCATTTATATGTGTCATACTTTTATTATTTTTACAAATAACCCAAAGCAGGGAACATATCCAACACGCCTTCCTCCTCCTTTTCTATGCAACAACAACCTTGTGAGTGAGTTGAGCTGAGAGAGAGGAATTGGCACAATGTCATCGAGGTTGCTTTCATGGCTAAGGCGGGATTAGAACTCACCCTGCTTTCTAGCCTGGGGCCTCTACTACTAGACCAAAATTGTTTGAGACAAGCTGACTTTAAATCCTGGTTTATTGAACTGTTTTGTTTTGATAAATTAACATTAAGATTGTCTACCATGATTTAAATGCTGCATTGAATTGTGTAATTTAAAATACATGCAGCAACTTTTAGTTACCTTTGTCTTGCTGCATACACATAGAGACATGGAATTAAGTACATGCCATTCATGACAAAGGAATTATAAGTATCCATTGAGCTGGACAATCCCTTGGAAGACTTTGTAAGTAATCAAAATGACCCAGTCTGGTCTTAAAAAACAGAGCCATCTGTGGAATGGAGCCATTAATAACACATCTCTCTCAGGATGTACCAACCTGAATATTAAAACTCCAAGCAGGTGGCACATTGTTCAGTCAAATGAGAGTGAGCACATAGCATTGACTTGAATCAAAATGAAAAATGTAAAAATCTGAAGTGTATGGCTGCATAGTGGCATCTGAACTACTAACGTGAGTGCCTGCATATATGAAAAGAATCAACCAGAGCAGGAGGAATTTGTCTGCAGAAAGTCAGACATTTGATTCTTTATTTGAGATTTTCATGGATTCATCACTGCATTAGTTATGGCTACATTTAGCTGTGCATTCCCATTGGATTAGCAAAATGATGGCCCAGAAGAAAACTGTCACTTTTAAACACTCCAGCTGTGCTTTGCCACCATCAGAGTCTTCGGTTTGCAAAATCCATAATTTATTATTTCTCTCTTTTTCCCACCCCCATGAAAATATTGCTAATCTGTTTATGGGGAGTAGTGCAATGAGAAAAGAATTCAACATACGTTGGATCTGCTAGAAGTTAAGAATTGTTGATGGTCTACTATAAATAGTGAAGTATTCTCTCTGCCTCTAGGTATTATAAGCTGTATTAGCAACAAATGACTCTTTCTTTGGGGAAAAACTGTATGGCCAAGTAGGTATGCAGAATGTGATACAGAATACAGTATAGAACTAATAAATAACCCAGCATTAAATCTTGTGATTTATTTAGGCTCAGAGAAAAGGCTCTAGAGGACCAATTGTGGTATTTGTATAAGGAAGTGAAAGCAGCTTAGTGCTGTTTTTTGTTAAGACAGGTCTATGTTTATGTCTGTATCAACACGGCACAATGCAGGGCATAGATCTTTTTCTTGCAGTCAGACAAGGCCCTGTAACCTCTTTGCTGTCAAAAAGAAACATGTTTTCATTAAAAGAACACTGCCTTTCGGTCTGGTCTCTGCATCGTATATGCAGAGAAAGCAAAAGAAGTATGTGTTGGGGTTTTCTTTTGTTTCTTTCTAAAAACATTTCATGGTGCCACATTTGTATGGCTGGGGTACAGGAGACCACAAAAGCAAAAGGTGGTTGACCCTTGAAGAATAGTTTGATTGGTAAGGCTGGACAAAAGACTCTCCCCACCGCAAAATGGCTCTACTAAGCTTCATTTCCTCCCATAGCACCACTCTATTTAATGATCCAAAAATCACCACCTAAAGTGACAGAAGGAATCCTAGTAGGAATCCAACCCTTTTATCTGCAGCAATATTTTGTACAAAAGAAAAATAAAAGTTGAATTTTAATCGCTGGAACTGGGACTGAATTTTCACATGGTGGTGTTCAAACAGAAGATTTTTCTCTCTCGCAGGGCCAAACGGGGGGCTGTTTTGTCATTTTTTTTGTCATTTCAAAACATTGTTTTTGTCATTTCAAAACATTTAGGCTGGTCATGCATCTTATTGAATCTTGAAATACAATCTTGAAATACATTTTGGAGCATTGGGAGGGGTCAGTCATGCTCTCCCCATTCACATTTTTAAAATCTCAGATTCCTTCCATTCTCTTTTTGTGTAAATTCCCATAGAAAAAGAACTAAAGAAAACGCTTGCCCATCTGCACCAGCCAGATTCAAACAGCATGGCTTTTCCCAATAGAATTGAGAACCCTCAGAAAATTCTAGCCTAGTGTTTTCCTGAAAAGGCCCATAAGAAAAGTCAGAGTACTGGAATATTGGAGGGATAGATGTGCTGGAACACCAAAGGATGGAAATTTGTGGGAAGTTGGTAAACAGATATTAGTTAATCCCTCTTTCTATTGAAATCCAGACAAAAACCCATAAATGTGTCATAATGAGCTCTGCATGTCATGCTGGAAATTAAGAAGGATGAAGATATTATGGTAAATCATTTCTGTTTTTCCTTTTAGGGATGGCTTTTAATCTGGCCAAGTTCTGATACGTTTTTTAATTAAAAGCCTGGCTGGAAATTTTGTGGATTAGGCCCAAGGATAGGAAAAGAGGGTTTTTTACATTAGAACTTCTACAAATAATCAATAAACTCTTTCTTTTCTTTCTTTCAACCCTGAAAAATAAAATAAAAACCCTCTAAAACTGCACAAAGCTCTCTAATTCATAGATTTACACATTTCTTCATAAAGAGAACGGATTAAACATTTTCTGGAGCTATCCTGAGCTCTCACAAAGGGCTCAGAATAATGGGGGGAGGGGGAGATAAATAATTCTGGGTCATTTTATTCTCCTAATGAAAATCCAGTGGGTGTTGTGGCTCCGTTACCTGAGCCTGTGTCATCGGCAGGAGAGGACTCCGAGAGTGAAGGAGAGGAGTTGGCAAGGCCTCCCTCTCCAGGACCCTCCTCTCTGGCAATGCCTTCAGTGTCTGACGAAGGGCAAGAGATAGGGCCGGGGCCAAGCACGTCCACGCAGCCACAGGTGGACAGTGATGAGGGTAATGAGTCTTGGCTGGATCCTCGGCAGCGTCGCAGAGATAAGCGCGCACAACAGAAGAAAAGGCATGCCAGAGATTAGGCTGTCACTGGACCACACCCCACAGGGTATAAAAGGGGGTGAGGTGGCCATTCCGACTCTGTGACGGACAAAACTAACTACTATCGAGTCACACCGCATCTTTGGAAACAACATTATCAGCCTTGGATTTATTTTACGAACTGGACAATTCTTGACTGTGGGTATTTTGTTTATTGAGTAAAAGTTCTTGGCAAGCAGCTACTGGGTTGCTGCCAAGCATCTTATCGGAAGAATTGGTTGTCTGCCAGTTTATTTAACCCCCGGCTTTCTGTTTGTGTGTGTGTGTGAGATGGGGACAGAACAGTGGGAAACTAATAATGTGCTGTATATTTTAGTATGATTTCTTCTGTAGTAAAATTCTCAAGTTCAGCCCTGCAGAAAACCTAAGAGGAGGCTTACAGCAGTGAGTACAGGTCCTTGACTTATAATAACTCACTTAATGACTGTTCAGAGTTACAACGGCACTGAAAAAACGTATGACAGTTGCAGCATCTCCATGTTTATGTGATTTACATTTGGATGCTTAACAACTGACTCATGTTTATGATAGTTGCAGTGTACCGGGGTATGTGACCCCCTTTTGCAAACTTCTGACAAGCAAAGTCAGTGGGAAACCAGATTCACTTAACAACTGCAGTGATTCACTTAACAAACATGGCAAGAGGATTACCTTTACTCATTTTGCTTGGTATAGTATGTGGGAATAACCTTGGGAAATAGGAGGAAGAGCCACAACCTAGACAAAGGTTGAATAAACAAAATTTGAGTTTGAAGGAGGAAGAGTGTCAAAGCATCTCAGAAGGGATTCTCGCTAGTTTTGGGGAGAGTAAAAGTGAGGGAAAGAAGTACTTCTACACTTGCAAGATTGTGTTAATATAATCTTTAAATAAACATAGGCTTAGTACTTATGGCTATGCTGCTTGTCAGAACTAACCTCACAAGACTTACATCAATCTTGCAAATCTGAAAGTAAGTTAGGCCAATGAATTGGACAATTCCCATCTCCATTATATCTGTTTCTGTATTATACACTAAAAGTGAGGGGAAATGCCATTCTAATAAGCATAGGAATTGGTTCACAGAATTTATAGAGATGGACAAAGTAGATATGGCATTAGGCTGAAGATCATTTACTGGTGCTGAATATTCAACCATGAAACCTCTTGAAAAAAGTAATGCTCAATTGTTGACATGCTTGGTGCTCTCTGAGCTTCGTTATTTACTTGCAGAGGTTTCATTACTAAATTAGGTAACCTCACCAGTGTGAAGTTACTTGTTCCCTGTTTATATACAGAAGCTTGTCCAGCCAC